TTTACACACATTCTTGCATGTCTGAGAGAAAATTCATCTCTGATAGCTTCATGTATTAGCTTTCACAGCATCAGCTGTTTCCACTTGAAATTTCCATTTTGCTTCTCATCTTGAAAAAAAAAATCTTGATTTTTTTCTGTGATTTTTCAATGTCTTTGTTGTATCTTATTCTAAATTTTCTTCTATTATTTATGTTTTTATAATGTCTGATGGCTTCTCAGTTTTGGATGTCTTGATTTTCTCACTTCTTCCCCCCCATACCTTTCTCCCCACAAAAGAATTTCTATTGCCTTATATGAAAGAACAGTCTCTATTTTTGATAGAATCTTGTGGTTATTTCTATTTATTTTGTAAAAGGGAGTTTATGTAAAATAATTTACTCGGTGGAATAACAGTCAGTACTAGATTGGCATAGACACTTTTTAGGTTTTGGTGACTAGAAGTGGTCTTTACCAAAAGTCTGTGTGTAAGTGTGAAAGAGAGGTACCAGAAATGACACCGTACACCCATCAGCTGGGTTTGTTGACTTAAAGGGGTGAGGAGATAGATATCCAATGCTCATTTCTCTTTGTTCCTTTAGGAAATTGTTTGAGTTCCAGGATGATAAAAATTAGCACTCGGAACAGCAATATAGTTGCACATAAATCTAACAAGAATGTGAGAGTTCAATATCTCATCCAGTTATCTTACAAATTAAAGGAAATTTCCTTATGCTATTGAAGTAAAAAAGTGGTTCATTTTCCCATTTCTAGATCTGTCAATATAGAACTATAGTGTCAAAACGTTTGTAATTATTGAAGTTATTATTCAACTGTATTAATAACTTTTTTCTAGTTTTTAGTCTCATACACATAGTTTCAACATAACTACAACAAAGGGGCAAGACAATGTGTAATACAGGTTTTAAATGCTTTCCAAACCAGTTTTGAAACTACTTCTATCAGATTGACTAACATGTGCAGCAGGCATTGTTTGCACTAATGATTATATATTGTATCTGTATCACATAGGCTGAAAAAAACTTGGTGCTTAATTTTTTCATGTAAAGTCCCATAGCTCAGCTCTGCCACTTTTGAGAAAAGAGAATAGAGATCAACTATAGATGACCTATTTCCCTTCATCTACCTAAAAATGTAACTTTTTCTGCCAGTTACCAGAGGTCCACAGAAGTACTGTATATTCTGTTGGCAATCAGTCAACCTCATCTTCAGAAGGATAAAACAAAAAATAACATCCAATTTTTCTTTCTGATACTAGCCCATTATTCTGTCTTTGGTCTCCAGGTCAATACACCATTATTTCTACATTGCTGAAGGATATAACACTGGCAATAGACTAAGCCCAAGCAACACAGGAAGAAAGAAATTTTTCCTGCCAGATTATTTATGTCTAAATAATGATGCTGGTTTGATTTTGATAATAGAAGAATTTGTTCTGACAGGGAGGAATTCTAGAGGGCAGAGTGCAGAGGGGGAAGTCAGAAAGTGTATGAGAAATGCAAATTGTTACAAGTTCCATAACTAATTGTCACTCTGTCACCTTGGAACTGAAAAGGGTCCCCGAGGGATGTGACAAAAGATGTGCAGAGCTGTGCTGAATGAGCATCTGCAAAACGGAATCATTCAGATGCATTCAAATATGTGGTCAATTTGATTATGAGAGATGTGGGATACTGCGATTCAGGACAAGTCTCTGCTACTAAGGATGCATCTCCTCATGATGGTGAGGCATACACATTTTGCATCACTGTGCTCATACTGGTTTCCTGGGAGTTCATTATAGTGACTTGCTGCCACGCTAAGCAGTAGCTGCTCTGCTGTATTGTTTCCAGCAAAGCTGGTGGAATTTTTCCACCTCATCTTACTTAGTTATTTATTTTAATTTTAACTCGCTCTGACAGTCTCTTGGGACACACAACTCATTCTCATGAGGGCTCCCAGGAGAGAGCAATAACACATCTACTCTGCAGTTGCATACATCATTATAACAAAAAACATAAAGCAGGATACTTAATCTGAAGCTGCAGACAAGAGCACTGAGCAGTCAGCCTCTCAATATATTAGCACTCTGCAGTTGCATACATCATTATAACAAAAAACATAAAGCAGGATACTTAATCTGAAGCTGCAGACGAGCACTGAGCAGTCAGCCTCTCAGTATATTAGCTTAAGGCAACAATTTAAGTGATTTCAGAAAGTTCAGTCTTCTTCTTTTAGTCACTCTTGGTTCAAGTTCATCTCTTCTTTCCTTTACTGGCTCTTCTGTGTTAACCATGCAAGGTCTTTCCATCTCTACTTCCCCCTGTAGACAAACTTTGCTGTCTTCATGGCAGAGTTGAGGTTTCTTTTGGGGGGGATGGGGCAGGTTTTTAGTGAATGTTTATGCTAGACCTTTAGTAAGAAGATGCTGAGTAAATAAAAGTGAGGACCTTGTACTGAGCATTAATTAGGCTTTGGTTTTAAAAGATGTTTACCAGAGCAAAAACACTTCCAAGAATCTTCTCTAAAAATCGATCCTCTTTTAATTTTTCAATTTGTCGTAGTGGAAGCGATTCTCCAGACTTCACACACAACTCAGGCATAGTTGAGGTCTGAACCTCATGGCATGATTATTACATGAAGCAGATGCCATTGTAGTCCTTCTTTTTATTATTATTAATATTAAAAAAATGTTCAGAATAAAGAATTTTAAAAATAATTTTGGGAGCAGCTGTTTGACAGTTCATCTATGAATTGAGTTAAATAACATAGTAGTTTTGGCAGCATGTATATTTAATACCTCCTAGTTAATGTTAATGCTAAGAGCAGATATTTTAGAGATGAAGAAGCCCTTCATACTTTGCTGCTTTTTTGTCATACTTGTTCTAAGTCATATATGAGCCAGACTGTAAAATAAGAGTTTACAGGCTCCATCTTGGTTTTTGTTTTTTTTTATTTTTTTTTTTCTATGGATAACTTCTGAGAAGGGGGAGATAAAGTTCTGTATAGTTAATCTTGATCTGTTGGTATCTTCTGCACTCATTTATATTTACTCTTTTATAAGGCAAGACTTTTCCACCACCACCATCCCCACAGTTTTTGTAAAGGAAAATTCAGTAGTAATGATTTCAAATACATTTTAACTGTGCCATTCTGAGAAAATCAATGCACTTTATATACCATTTTTAACTTATTATGCACTGCTTAGTCTTATGAACTGCTCCCAGGCACTTCCCAAGATGGAAACAAAGGGAAGAAAAATATTACTAGAACGGATAAAACTGCAGCCTTATCATTTTGTCAGGTACTGCTTAATTTTAATGTATATCTGAAATATAACAATGACTAATCTATTTAAATAACTCATCTGTAAATATAGAAATCTTTAGAAGGAAATTGCATGCCTCAAGGCAAAAACTGATTTTTAGCAAGCAACAAGAAAGAATGCAGAAAGGCAAGGAAACCAAGCAAGAAGAGTATATAGTTAGAAACAAATGTGAGACTCAGAAGGTCTGGATTCTGTCCCTGGAATAACTTAGACTTCATACAGCATTTTGCTGTGAAAAATTCCTGTTAAATCACATTTGTACTTAAAGAAGGTAATAATGCATCACGTTGTATGAATCTGCTCTGAGGTGGGATGTGAGGCTTTTAAGAAACATTGGCTTGGTCTTTGTAGGGAGGGATTAAGGGGAGATTACATTGGTGTGGAAATAAGAAGCAGGGTAATAACAGATGTCAAAAAATTTCTTTCCTCAGTAGAAAATACTGTACAGAGTTTCTTTTTGAACTCTTGCCTAGCTGCGAGAGACTGGAGTTCTTCCTTTACTTCAGTGTAACCCTGAACTGAGTAATAGCAATGATAAATACATCCTTTCTTAATATTTCTAATGTACAGAAGTCTTTGCGTATTCCTCCATTGTTCTGATGAGAATCTGTACTTAGATGAATACAGAAGAAAGTGTGGTTGGTCTTCCAGCAGTATTTTGGATTTGAAGGAAACATAAGGGAAAAAAATCTGCAGGCAAAAGACAGTTGATGAGCTTCCTTCCACTGCAGTATTTTTCCATCTGATTTCTAACCATTTCTCTGAGGTTGAAGACTTATTTTCTTTCAAGGTGCTTTAAGTGCTACATCAACTTCCATGTGCATTTTAACATTTTATTATTGTAACATAAAAGGTTACATTTTTCGTTTTTGAAATTGAGAAAATATTGTCATTGGGCACTTAGATGCTTTCATAAAAATAATATCATCCAAACAACAGCATCTGATCTTTCTGTCAGTATGAAATAATTTAATGAGTTTCCAGTATGATATTGATTGGAATTTATGTAAAGCAGAGAGGGTAAAAGTGCACATTTTCACTGAAAGTTCCTGTCAGTATGCTCTAATACTTACTCTGAATCCTCAAAGCCCATTTTGGAGGCTTTCTTTCAAAACTCATCATAGCCTCGGTATTTTTCACCATGTTGGATCTCTGTGGGTTGTACAGAAGATCAAGAACTCATGTGAAATGAATTACCAATATCTATCTAATGGCACTGTAGCAGTGATTTTATTCTACTGCCAGTCCAGGTCAGTGATTTTCAGGAAAAGGCCAAAGGACCTGTCCTGAATCCTCCGGTTTTTAATAACGTGTATGTTTTCATAGCTTGGAAGAGCCATGCTAATTCTTAATATATTTTAATAAAAACAATCTGAAAACACTTTTACAGGAAGAAATGAAAATAAATTTTTGTTACAATAAGAGTCTTTGAGAGACTGGTTAGTACAGCTGTGAGTGTAATGTAAGGTCAGAAACCTGAAAATTGCTGGTTTTAGTGATGAGTAAGTGGCTTTCTTTTCTTTCCTTATTAGATAGAAAATGGTCGTCTCTGGAACTCTATTGTGAAGACCTCAGAAGAAATATCAATTTTTCCAGTCAGCTTTTCATAATGTAAATATAATTTGAGCTTTCCCAAGTGGGCAGCTAAAACATGAACAAGCAGAAAAACCCATTTTGGACTGTATTTCTGCACCAGGCTTCACCTTCTGCCTCGGGAACTTATTAAAGGATTACAGCTGAAAAAGACAAGAGAAAGAAAACCTTGAACAGGAAGCTTATCCTACAATGAGAATTACAAGTACATCTTGTATCTGCCCAGTCCTAGTTTGTCTCTGTTTTGTGCAGAGGTGTTATGGAGCTGCTCATCATGGCTCCATCAAGGTGACTAGAAATCAAACCAAACACATAGAAGGCGAAACAGAAGTACATCATCGTCCCAAGCGTGGATGGGTGTGGAATCAGTTCTTTGTTTTAGAAGAACACATGGGACCAGATCCTCAGTATGTAGGAAAGGTAAGGTCATTGTCTTCTATTTGGTTTTGGTTTTGTTTTTCCTGTCCCCTGAAGTGTGGCATTGGTAGAGGAAAACCAGATATCTTCTTAGACGGCAACTCCTTCTGTAAAGGAGGATTGCTACGTACATGGACAGTGGACTTGCCAGTTGCCTATGTATACTTTCTGTGTTTATTATAAAGAAAAAAGACAAATAAAAGTAAATACAATTAAGATATTAAAATATGATAAAATAGCATTTCTTCTGAGCTCAGCTAGATGTGGAGTGAGTGCAACTGGTCCTCTTACATCAGATTCTGTAGAACCCCAAATGCATGAGGCTTAAATATGTCACTTCTAAAGACTTTTCCAGGCTATTTCAGAATATAATTCAGTTCTACTTCATGGGATATTATAAATACAATCTAGGCTCCAAAGGGTATTCATTCCACTCTGAGGGTAGGGTAGAAAAGGACTCTTCCAAAGGGAAATCCTCTGTGACTTTCTTCATAACAAGAGGCAGCAGGTGTGTTACTTGTTACAGTTCCTCAGAAGGCTGTGAGAACTACAAGCCCTGCATTTTTGTTTTGACACATATAGTGACCTTCAGGCATGAAGTTCATGCTGATGCAGTTGTAGGCTGGCCATCTGAAGTCTGGCTTATCATGTGTAATGTTGTCTGTATAGCTTGGGTTTTAAATTTGCATTAAAATAACACAAAACTGTATATATAGCTTTATTGAAAGATGTATGACAGATGGAGCTTTTCTCCCCCGAATACTTTCAGCATTATGATAGAATTTTTTATTATGTAATGTAATCTGGATGAATCTTAATTTCCTTAATGAAAATGGAGAAAGATGTTGAATATGAAGAGTGAAGAAAGATGGGGATGAGGGCATGAAGAAAGAATTATTTCTTTTTAGTTTGCCTTCAAGTTGGGAATCCTGAAAATTCCATTTTACAGTATGAAAAATATCCAAGGAAACCAGTAGCTTCTGAAATCACAGATGTCTGGTAGCAAGGACTTTCATATTTGAACAGTATCATCTGAACTAAAAATAGTAAGTGGAGCATCTGTATTTAAGATACTGTTAACACAAAGACAAGAAAAAAACTTATTTAGTTATGCCAAACTTAGTAAAATACCAAGTATTTCAACATACTGAAAATTGTTGAGATTTGTGCAAGAAATATAAACTGGGGAAGGACCTTTCTAAATGGAGACAGTGGGTTGCATTGAAAGACAAGCTTTTAAAATGGGTAAGAGGATGAAGAGATATGCTTCCAGACCCATCTTAGATTGATTAACATTTTCATGAATGATTTTGGAATAGAAGAAACATTTTACAAACATGTTGCTGATGCAAAGCTATGCAGGAGAATCAAAATATTGTCTGGAAAGAGCTAGATATGGAGATAGAGAGTAAACCTCAGAACCACAGTGTGATAAGGCTCCTACAGGGCAATATCATTAATTTATTTATATATATATTATTGTGTTGACCTTAAGGAAGGTAAATATGATACTAAGCTGCAAAAATTGAGATAATCAAAACAGAGATAAAGTGGTATTGAAGCCATTGTGAAAAATAATGTTAATCTGTTTACTGTTCTGATTACTTTTGACTAAGAAAAATGAATTTATATATGGATCTATACAGAGAAAATTAAATACTGTGGGTGGGGTGATGTTGGAGAAAAAAATATGTTTGTTTAGTTACTCCCACAAATAATAGTGGAGAACGTGTGTTATTCTATGAATGCAATTCAGATTTTTTTTGAAAGAGAAGAGCTATTTGAGTTGATTCAGCTTTTACTTGAAAAAACTAAGTTTTGGTGGCCATGAGTTAGTTTAGAATGGAAATAAGAAAATAAGTGAGATTCTGAAAGAGTCTACTAATAGGAAGAAAGGAAAGAAAGTCTGAAGGGGTTTCAAAGTGGAGTGTGCTTGTCTTTATGGAAGCATTTATATAAGTGATTGCATGCAAGAACAGAGGCCTGGATTCCATGAGCTAAAGGATGGTCCCTTTCCATTTTATGTTCCTGTGATAGCATTGTGTATTTTCTTTCATCCTATGACCACTTTATTAATGCTACATTTATAGAGATTAATGAATAGGATTTATTTTAATCCTTCATGGTCAGAATGTGGGACATTCCTCCTCAGCACTTACCATTTTTTCTCCTCTTTTCCTCAAAGAATTCCCTGCGGTGTTCACAATTTTCTAACTCTGAGTACTTCACAGCATTAGTAAGCTCATCTTTGCATAAGCTTTGTGGGACGTAGAAGCATCTGTACTCTTGTTTTCCATTTGTTGTGATGTTTCTGATGACCTGATTTACTGCAAAGATCGATAGTATTAGCTCAGGCATATATTTGTAATTCAGTAAAAAAGGAAAGTGTGTCTGACACTGACATGATATTAGTAATTAGCAAAATTTCAGTAGTGGTCATTGTTCATGAGTTCCTTTTTGTTTTGAAAAACAGATATTTTACTGATGTTGCATTTTATTGTACACACCTCATTAAGGTCTCATTCTATGTGCCTGTAATTTGGCAAGACGTTTTCATGCAAAACACCTCAGTTTATGAAGGAAGGCTATGTGAGTGGTGCTCTTTAATTTTAGGCTTCTGTTTGGTGGCAGCACGCTATCAATTCTGTCAGTTATTAATTTTGTGGACTACTCTGGTTCACTGGTGAGAGTTTTGCCGTTTGATACCTGTCCTTTCACATTTTTCACACCCAATTTGGTAGTAACATCACAGAAAGCAGAGTCATTATGTACAATGCTGTTACAGTGATTACGGTCATTGTCATGGAAGTGCACACTGAGGACAAGAACAGAGCAGGCCTGCAATGAAGATTGTAAGGTTTCTCATTCTTACCATGAAATGACTGCCAAGGATGGATTAATTTACTGCCATCATCTGTAATACAGCAAGCATTAGGACAACAAGTTATCATTACATTTTAATATCAAGCATATTCACATTCCTCAGTCATTATTTCTTTTCTCTAAAAAAAATATGATTTGTAGGCTGGAAATCTGTATTTAATTAATCCATACCAGCCATCCTCAAAAGGATTTTATAGGAACATGGTAAAACACAGGTCCTGCAAAAATGAGGTTGTGGTAGGAGTGGGAAATGATCCTTTTGTAGATGTTAGGTAGTTTCTGCAGCTCTGGGATTATTGAACTGCTTCCCTGGTGTTGCACTTGGAGTAAGTCTTCAAAGTTTCAGGCCATGTCCTCCTGAACAAACAACTCCAAAAATAGTTTTGTATTAAAAAAGGTGCCATTAAAGAATTTAAAACCACAGTGAGTTATTTTCCTAAAATTATGAAATATTGGGGGAGAGTTTCTTGAGAACATCTCAGTGATCAATGGTATCTAACAATGTTAGTTCTGACAGACTGCTCATCTGTGGGTGCAAGTGTGGGGGTGGGTGTATGTGCAGTGGAGAAACTGTGGAAATTTGATTAAGCAGGAACAAATATCCTTGTCTCAAATAAGCAGCTTGAATCTACAGAACTGAGCTTTCAGCTACATGAGACTTCTTGTCGTTTGCATCTTTGTGAGGAGAGCTGTTCTGATGAAAACACAGTTGTGAGTGCTGGAAGGGGCAGGGGCAGTGAATGCGCCGAGGCCTGGTCCAGTACCAACTGCACCAGCTCAGAGGAATGAAGATTCCCCGGAGGAAATTTAGAAAAAATTGTGCTTTAGGACTTCAAGCTTTAACATTTCTCAGTTGCCAAGGCTGATACTGGTTGCATTTCTCTTGCATTTCCTGCATGCTTCCAGGTTAGATAATTCACATGTCAGGATACAGAAAACAAATAACAAATAATTTTAGGAAAGAAGAGGAACAGAGTACATGTTTCAGTCTGTAGCATTCTTCATGTTGAACCTTCACACCTCTTTGTCTCCAGACGGTCTGATCCTTCTGATATTTCTTAAAAGTCAGTTGCACTGAAAACAGATTGTAACTACACTTTCTCTGTCCTTTTTACTTTGGAGAGAGAAGTAAACGTGCAGTGGTAAAGGGAAAATCAGTGTTGTTTTGAGGCTGAGTGAAGCATGCTATTAGAGGGAATAGCAGAGGAATATAATGAATAAGACTGACACTTGATTTCTCTGTGGACCCTTTGGATCTCTGAAATACCGAACATAAACCTCTTAATCCACTTCAGATGTATTCTGAAGGGCAAACGGGAGTATCTTTTCAGGTATTCAGCTCTATGTTGTTTTTCAAGTGCATTTTTCTTCCCAAATTTGGGGGCAAAAGAAGTCACACTTGTTCTTAAGTTTTTGCCTGTAATTCAAAAACACTCTCAGATTTCTGTTGACTGGGAATATAAGGAAGCATGGAACAGCTGGAAATCAGTATGAGTACAGGTGAGGGAAGAGGAAAGTAACAGATTTTAAAATGCCCTGAAATGATTATACTGAAAGTTAGATTAAAAAAGAAATCCCAGGTGTTGTATTGGATTTTCAAGGCAGTAATTCTATTAATTTGTTATTTTGCTCTTGAAAACAGAAATACAGCATAACAGACTTGTCATTCAAAATTATTTTTCAAGGTAGTACAGTGACATGTCATTGCAATAAATTATTTCTAGTACAGGAAAGTGGATCTAATCTTCCCTGATCATATCAAGATAATTTCACGTCTGACATTTAATGACAGTAAGGGGAAAATATGTATACTTTAGAATAAGTGCTAAGGAAGAAACAAAAGTGTAATTTTACAATTCAAATGCTTTTATTCAGTGTTAGAGGTTTACATAAAATAAAGCATATCAGATGTTTCAGCATTTTAAACATAAGCAAGCAGTTCCAAAATTTATTCTGATTAAAAAAAAAATGTTTTTCTTTTGTGATAAAGAAAATTAAAAGGAAAGTGTATATGTTATAGTCTAAAGGTTTTGCATGTGGCTTGTTAGCCATTTTTGCCTTTGTAAAAAGGCATACAAGTGACATAATCAGCATCTAGAATAATGCGCATCTCATTTTAT